TTGTTTTGCTTGCGTGCGCAGACTGGCTGGCTGGCAAGTACCGGTCGTTTTCGCACTCGAGGATAAAAAATGAAGGCCTTCATGTTTGTGCGACTTCTATTTCGGTTAAGTGTTCCTGGTTATGAAACAATGTGTGGGTAAATTTCTAGCAATAGGTCGCCACCCAGTATTGATCAGTGAACGACGTTTTTCGTCACACATTCGCCGGCATGCAGGCTTTGGCAAAAATGTAAACGTACAACGTCACAGTGAGAGCGCCTATATGTACCCGGATCAGTGCATCTCCTCCATGAACGTGGCCCACCAGTGCGTACATAATTTTTCATTTATTTGTCAATGTTATTCTCTTTGGTACACCATGAATACAATTTATCATGATAGAACCTGTATTACAATACTGTTGTGTGGCAGGGCTCCAGAAGGAGTACCTGCAGTTTATGCAATTTTTTTTAAATTATGCTAATTTATTCATGACGTAGCAGTTTCTGTGCTCATGAATATTCATTAATTTGTGGATCAATACATTCTAAAAGGGGCGATATATTATTTTGGGGGGGAGAGTTAGAAAGGGGGATTAGCAATCCTTAGGGGGGTCAATACAAAAGAAGGTACTCATTTGGGGAGCAGCATTGACCTGCAGCACGTGACCTGCAGCTGTCAACTGTGTTCGTACTTCGACTGGCTTCCATGTGAGGTAGTATTCTTATGTTCTGTTTTTCTGACTTGAGTTCTTGATATAAACACCGTCCCTCAACACCGGTGTTGAGGGACGGTGATATAAAGAAGTTGCTGTTTATGTTTTTAACGTCTATCATATCTTGTCTTGTAGGAGTGTCCTGTCCGTGATTCAAACTTGCTATCTTTGAGTTCCCAGCGCACTGTCTTGTCCACTGTACCACGAGTGTCTTCACACAAATGATGGGATTTAAGTCCTACTTATAGGATCAATGTTTTCACTAGCATTCAAAAATCGTACTAACCGTACTGGATTCGAACCAGCGATCTCTCATATTGCCTACATTGTACATATCCACTGAACCATATGGATAGTCATGATGAATGAATTATTTGTTTTCATATTTAGCTTTATTGCAAATTAGTGTTTGCGAAAATAGACTGGCAGGCATGGGAATTAAACCCGGGTCCTCCTGATCACTGTGTAGACAACTGAACCACAAGACCACAATTGATTGACTGGATGTGTTTGCATTTGATAAGACTATATAGTGTATATAATATATATATATATATATATATAGAAATACAACATATTTCTATTATTGAGTTACAATTGTCCAAAAAATTGCCAATTTTGTGTTTTTACTTGTGTAAACTATATACATGGCATAACCCGTTAGTGTACATCTTGCCAATTGGGTGTTTGCCATTTGCGTTGCCCATACCAGACCCGACCCGACCCCTAACCCTAATGCCAAGACACGTTCCTGTTTATAATTGCTCAATAATGATACTCTGTTGTGCACTGTCTGCGGGTAAGTTGCATTGATGTCAACTGATGATTAAACAAGTTGCGTTTAAGTAATTTCCACTATTAACAAGTGTGTGGACAAATATTTGAGATTAATTTTGGTATAGACAACTCTCGTTTAATTATTTTACACCATTACAAGTTGTTAAATTGAGAGAATAAATTTCTCAACAAATATTTAATACTTAGTTTGGTGTAAACAACTCACGTTTGATTAATTCCCACAATTACAGGCTGTTAAATTAAAAGAATAAATGTGTGGACAAATATTTTAGACTTATTTTGGTGTTAGACAGCTCTCGTTTGATTAATTCCCACAATTACAGTTTGTTAAATTGAGAGAATAAATGTGCGAACAAATATTTTAGACTTATTTTGGTGTAGACAGCTCTCGTTTAATTATTTTACACCATTACAATTTGTTAAATTGAGAGAATAAATGTATGGACTAATATTTGAGACTTATTTTGGTGTAAACAACTTGCGTTTGATTAATTCCCACAATTACAAGTTGTTAAATTGAGAGACTAAATGTGTGGACAAATATTTTAGACTTATTTTGGTGTAGAAAAGTCGCATTTAATTTACTTCCACAAATTACAAATTGTTAAATTGAAAGAATAAATATGTGGACAAATATTTGAGACTTATTTTGGTGTAGACAACTCTCATTTAATAATTTTACACCTCTACAAGGTTGTTAAATTGAGATAATAAATGTGTCGACAAATATTTGATACTTATTTAGGTGTAAGAACTCGTGTTTGACCAACGTCCAGCATTGCAAGTTGTTAAAATAATGAAATAAATATACCGGTATCATTGGATATTTTATTTAATTGTGAAACTTTCTAACAAAATGTTAACTGCTGGCTTCGAACCCTCAATCAACAATTCCGCAGACACAATATAAATTCCACAACACCACAGAAGATATTTGTCTGTTGCCTGAATTGTTTTCGTAATATAGGGAACGCCATCGACACTTTAACAAAACTTACCTTGGGTCTTGTTTATCTCTTGTCACAATCTGGAAACTGTTGAACAAATTGCGCGTCGTCCATGTCCAGTTTTAGACGCAAGTTATTTTATTATTCATTCAGATTTGTATGGTGGAGTTTTGTGAGGTTTATTATTTTTTTCGCTACGTTCTTTGTTTACAACATGAGAGATTTCAGTTTATTTGATTTACGTTTTTACGGTAGCTCCGAGCGGGATTCGAACCCACTGTCTTTTCAAGCTAATTTTGTTTTATTTCGATGGCACGCTTGTGTACCACGCCACGACGTTGGTCGTTAAGTGGTGTTCATTTTTTTAACTACTCCAGTGTTCCGATGAGTTGAACGGAAAAGCCAAAACGATTGCTGGTTTCTGATTGCTTCGGTTCTGGTGAGTGTGTATCTAGTGTGATTCGAACCCATGTCGTTTGTATTGGGCGTTTTTTTTATTTCCCATGTTGGCTACGCCGTAATATGCAACCACTTCCCCGTTTTATTGTGATTTTGAGAGTGTTTAATGATGTCTTCCCCACCCGTCACGCCATGACCCAGTTTCAACCACACGGCCATTTTGCAACACAGTGCGTGACCCTCGGCGTGACCCGACTGACTATATGAGCGTTCTGTTCAACTGTTAAGCTAGGATTTATTACCGTTATTATCATTATATTGTCACGTGATTTGTTTTACCTGATGTGTAATGTTTTAAGTATCTTTATTGTAATTTGTATATACCAATTCGTATATACCGAGGAAACCCCGCCGATTGAAAGTCATGTATTTTGTGACGTCACCAATTCGTGTGTAGGTACGGCTTCTAGATCCGTGCCTGTTGTGTTTCTGTCGATATTTAATGTCAGAAAATAAAATCGTAGAACATTTTTTACATTATCGACTTGTTTGTGATGTCTCAGTTGCGCGTTCCGCTACTGTGCGCCGGATAAGGCAAAAGAACAAAGACAGATAATTGTGGCAGACTGAAAAAAAAAATATTCGTAGAAATGACCGCAAATCATAAGTCCAGTTTGCAAGAACATAAACATTTTCGTCATTTTTATACAAATGTTAGATTGTGCGATGTTTAGCCAAAATGTCCCAGTTTTCAACGCACATGACAGAAGCATGGCACAATTATATGCTGATATGCTGACATCACTGTGCAAAATGTACTTGTTCTAACAACAATTCTAAACTCATAGTTGCTGTTCGGTGTTATTTGCTTGTTCTAACAACGTTGCTTCAATAATATCACAGATCGTGTTCGATTCTAATCGCCATCGCGCCCTCTGTCATATGTAACCATGGTATTTGAGATAGTCAACACAATTTCTGGGGACAATGGGACAATATTTGAGGGGCAAATAGCTCTCGTGACTCTCGCTGTCAATGAGATCCCGGCGGCCATTTTGCGCCTTAGGTATAGTTGTCTCATTATTTGTCAGACGTTAACGAAGCGTAAGTTAGAATGTATTTGCTAGTCTGTTTGTATGGCTTAATTTTGGCCATGTTGATTTTATAATCATCATGATGGATCCTCAACCATTTCCAGGACAAGCTTTGACTATTTTGTTCCAAGTTGGTACAAAGACAAAAGTTAACGGATTTCATATAAACTTAAATTTGTTCAAAATTTCAGTTTTCAGTTTGTTCAAACGTGGTGCTGTCAGTACTCGTGGTGGTTACTTAATATGCACGTTATTTATTTTCGTAGTGATATTCAAAATTGGTGAATTCTTCCCATTTCAAAAAAAAAAGAAAAAAAGATATAATGATATTTTTTCTTGTGATCGGATTCAGTATCTGTGTTGATTCACCTCTAATATTTGAATTCTCTGAATTTACACCTTTAAATATCATATGGACAAATTTCAAATGAATCTCATTTCCCGATTGATATCTTGTACAATATGCGATATATGTGATATATAAGGCCACGTGCCCTTTTTTTTCAAAGACTGAGACATTCATATCCTTTTTCTATATATTTTGTTGATTTGCGACCAAATGGTCACATTTCCCATCGTCTACAGGTCTTCATACTATTTTTTTGAAATCGGGAAAAAATTCAATGAAAGGACATGTAATTTAAATGTTAAATAAGTAAATTTAAAGCGTGGGAGTCGTCACCTGCGCATGCGTCAGATGACCATAGCGTGTCATTGTTTACAAACAAGCGTCTACCCATGAGCCTTTGCGTTTTTAGCGTGTGTTGTTTGTTATCGTCGCTTGGGACTCAATTTCCGCGCTTGCGCAGGTGACGACCCTCTCGCTTTGAATGTGGCAATGTGGGAGAGAGTGGAATATTGCAGTGAAGGCATGGAAAATATGCAGTATGGTAGAAAACTGAACTCCCACGAGATGCCTCTGATACACGGTAAACAAATTAAAGACAATTCGATAACAATGACATTTCAACATGTAATAATTTTGTATTCATTTTCTATCTTCACAGGTAATAATCCAAATCACCGCCGGGAGGAGTAACAAAGAGATTGTAGAAAAAAATGAGTAAGATGACAGAAATGTCACCAATCGCGAACAATGATGCGGTCTCCAAGGAAACCACAGATTACACAAAGCCGAAGAAATCTGATAAAATATGTGACCTTAGAGAATTCTGTAAAATTAATCCAATATTGCTGACATCAAAATTGTTTTATTTTTTCTTCTTCGGTGGAATTGGTGCTTTATTTCCTTACTTAACCATCTATTTTAAACAGCTTGGTTTGGGACCGCTGCGCATTGGACTTCTGAGTGGCGTTCGACCGTTCATAGGTTTCTTGAGCGGACCACTGTGGGGCGCTGTTGCTGACAGATACCGGAAAAGGAAAATAATGTTGATGATTTCGCTCTGTGGTTGGATCGGCATGCTTTTGGCATTGGGGTTTGTACCACCTGCCAAGGAGGGGGAATGCCCCGTGGCTGCGAACATAGTCGAGCAATTCTTGAACGGAACTAATGCCACTACTGCGACAGAGAATTCCACCACGGAAGTGTCACGCCGTAGTCTAAAATCTCGATCATTTAGCGATCTTGTGCACGTTAGCTGCGGGAATTGCCAACTCACGAATCATGACGGTAGATCGCGCGATCTATACAGCGGGCGCTCGCATGTTGTGCTGAGGTCCGCGAAACCTGAGTTCAGCGAAGAGGTCGTGGCAGCCATAGACACGATGAACGACGGAGAAGACCGAAGCTGGTTGTACGATGACGATAGTTTACAAAAGCTGTTCCTGATATTGATGGCGCTGATTATGATCGGCGAGTTCATGCAGTCCCCGGCTTCAGCTCTTGCGGATACGGCAACACTCAAAAATCTCGGAGAAAAAAACCTGGATAAATACGGACACCAAAGGGTGTGGGGCGCTATTGGTCTCGGTGTGGCGTAAGTATTTGCTATGATGAATACGATAATGCTCGATGATTTTACACCTGTATTTTGTTTATAAAAATAATGTATTGTTATGGATGGTGTACTTTTTGCTTTCCTGATTTTTTCAAAAAATATTTTGAAAAATGCAATTTTTGTTTAACATTGCGCTTTATGGAATTGTTCTAAAAATAACTATTTTTGAAAAATGTTAGGACAAGTTTCTCAAAATACGTCACTGTAACACACAATAGAATGCTATTTTATGGTGCCACGGTATAATAGCTTCATGATTTTACATAATAAACCAATGAACCTTTCATGCGATTTATGACCAACTTTCTCAAAAATGATGAGTCGGCTTCTACCTTAATAATTCCAATTGTTTACAATTTTATAAGTTACAAATTATCACCATATTCATGCATGTAGCAAATCATCGCACCGCCTGTGAAAGCTTATTGTGCCGACGGCGCATTTTCATAAGCGGTGTGCTGAATGGCCACTGGGTCTCACGGTTAGTTAAGTTGTGAATATGGAATTTTGTGTTGAAAGTATGATGTATGTTCATCCGCTTGTATATAGATGCGACTTCCACATGGCATGTGCATTTTTTTTTCTCAAAAACTGGAGCGGATAAAAAATTTCCCAATAACTTCCCTTACTATATCATGCTATATAAATAGAACCCAGCGACCTTTCGCTAAATACTACCGCACATGTCGGATTACCTATAGACCATTGTTTTATAGGAACTATGGATCATCTAATGTGAATTTCGGATGTGAGATTTCTGTTTTGTATTTTTTAACATTTCGTGGATTGTTGTCAATTCTCATCGTCTTTGCAGATCGTTTACTGTCGGTGCACTGCTCAATTTAACAAGAGAAACTTTCACAAAATGTGGTATCGAGTTGGTGTACAGCGACTACCACGTGGCGTTCTACTGTTTTGCTGTATTAATGACAGGGGCTTTTATTGTTGCCGCTACATTCAAGTTCAAGGTGAGTGGTTCAATATTACACGTGACATAGTTCCAATTCTCACCGCATGTATTCTCACTGTGGTGTAGAGGTGGGCGAGGGATTGGAGTTGCAATGGCGGATCCAGAAATTCGGCGAGGGAGGAGCGCTTCTATTGACGTGGCCGAAGTAGACCTCCGGTGGACTGGGTTTTTCGATTGATTTGTCAATTATTTATTTTTTGCGGACTGAAGGAGGGCGGGGGCGGCGCCTGGTCTCCCTCTAAATCCGCGCGAGTTGGATATACATCGCCAAATTGAATAAAGTGGAAATAATATACCCAAGAGTAGACTCTTATACAAAAGTCCAACAGGGAAAATAGACAATGAACACAAAACAAATAACTGTCAACAACAATCCACAATAATACGCTCGTGAATAATTAATAAATAATGTACGTTTCAAACACCAAACCATGCGTAACTTTAAAATATAAAAACAAAAAAACTTTGAAATATACAGACCCGACCTATCCCAACCCTAATTTCCCTCCAAAATGTATAATGAGTGATGTCTTTTCTTAAACAAAACAAAACAATAACTAAACATGTCAACATCACAGTTAACCTTTTCACCACAAGTTCCCTTGTTCCATCACAAAATAGTCCCGTTTATAGTCTGCACTTTCCATAAGAAGATTGGGTCAAAAATAGCCAGATTATTTTAGTAAAAACTGAAAATTGACCCAATTTTTTTCTGTTAGCTCCAAAATTAAGGTTTATTTCCAGAAATATTGTAAATATAAGGAACAAAGTTGCAGACAAATTCGGTCGAGAAAGTCTGGTGATGAACAGGTTAAGTCGAAGGATACATACAAGACAGAATTTGATAGGTTGAAAAAAAATGTCAACAAACAAGCTTATCTATGATTGGTTAGGATTGGATAGCCGTTACATTGCCCATCACCCCTCCCTTCTTAGCTAACAGTCAATCTTTAGATCATACACAGTTTCTTGAGGGCTATTCGTCGATCACAGTAATGTCACTTGTGAATACTGATGTCTTTTGTAATCTGTGGTAATATTATTGACCATGTTGAAATTAAAAGATTTAGCTTCCCCGAACTTCTTCGGCTTCAACAAAATTTTACCGAGGGGGAAAAGTGCTATACCGGTAATTCAACTATTTTTTTTCAGGATGACGTTGATGACAAGCCATCGAATCACAATCTATTGTCGTTACTCAAGCTACTGAGTAAAATACAGTATTCTTCAATATTAGTTGTATCATTTTTTATGGGAATCTGCAATGGTGTCGTCTATGGATTCCTGTTTTGGCACCTAGAAAATTTAGGTAAGTAAGTATTTTACATCATTTTTACCGCATTGTTGAGCAAATTGAGAAAACGTCATGTGGTATTTTGTCTGAATGTGACATCAAATCCGCCATCGTTGTTTATCCTCGTTCGTGGACCCTTTAACAATGGACCCGGTAAGTAGGTTTTAGTTTGATAAGGAAATCTCATTGAATATCATATCGCAAATACAACACCGCAACGAAGGTAAACAGGTATTTTTCGTTGGATTGGTAAATAAATAAATGAATATTTTTTTTTCAGGTGCATCACAGCTACTTATGGGAACAGCCAGCTTTCTAATTTACGGGTCAGAGGTCATCATGTTTTTCCTCTCCTACCCGTTATTAATGTCGATAGGTCACATATGCGTGCTGTACCTCGGTTTGGTATGCTACGCACTTCGATTCTTAATCTATTCACAAGTAACCAACCCATGGTGGGTACTTCCGGCGGAAGTACTACAAGGTAAGGAATGTTTACCGATTTTCTTTTTGCCCATAATGCATTTTGTCACATGCGTGCTCGCTAGGTAATTTTATACTGGGTATTAATAGTACGTACCAACAAATATCATGTATTGCGTGGTACCCAATGTTAGGAAACAACGTGACCATATCTGCTGGAACGGTTAGCATGTTAGTTTACTTTTGACATTTAGCATTTTTTTGTAATTAGTGTGTAATTTAAAAAAAAAAAGATAGAAGATTTCTGGTTACTTGGCTACTATGCGCGCGACAATGCCAATACATGTATTGCAACTATAGACTGCTCGGAAGTACTTCCGGTCATTATAAATTTGAATTTGCATAATGTATAAATAGAAAGTTGATAATATATGAAAGGCGTTTTAATCGTACCCACATATGAAACAGAATAAACCGACTGCAACTGCAAGACATCTCTTCTAGAGAATTCAGTCGGTGATATCAATAGATTGTACTTATAAACAGAGAAATTAATACATGAAACACGTGATTAGAACTCACGATTACGGTGGACAGATGGGCTAGTTTATTTTAAATCGGGAGGGTCATCACCTGCGCACGCGCGGGAATTGAGTCCCAAGCAACGATAACAACACACGCTAAACACGCAAAGGCTCATGGGTAGACGCTTGTTTGTAAACAGTGACACGCTATGGTCATCTGACGCATGTGCAGGTGATGACTCCCCCGCTTTTAGCTTTAAAAACGGTCATACAATTTGCCATGAAAGCAGTGGTATCGACCCTGCGGTCGGTAACAAGGTAACTCGAAACTTGCTTACTAGTCATTTATTTGCTCAATACTAGTATAAATAATTACGTTGATCTGTGATCTCGCTAGTGGAAGCAAATACGTTGAAAATAAGCAGGACGTTCATATGTTGTACATCAAAATGATATATCCAGCTCCTGCCCTGTAAGTTTTGAACCACGTGGTTCCAGGCATATTTGTTCGATGTACCAGCGTTTGTTCAACCCATTTGTCATCATTATAATGACTCGATAACGAACGTTTACAGACACGAATAATGTCAACAGTAGGGAGTGACTATCCCCGTTATTATGAATACAGTTTTTATGTTTGCCCAGCTGTCAAATGCATTATGTTACTGTACTTCCATTACTGTGAAATAATTTATTTTAGCTGGAATTAATTTTCGCTGAAGAGACTTTTTGGGTGTTCTGTATGGATTTTATTTTCACTGATTTTTGACGAGTTAAATGTAAAATATAGGAAAAAAAGAATATTCGCTTGATTTTATTTTCACTGAATCATTCCTTTAGCGAAAATTAATTCCAAGCGACAATAAAGTATATTACAGTATGTAGTACACAGTTCGTACCACTCGTGGTCATGTGTTCTATGGCCCGGGTCTTACGTTTATTCCCGTTTTCTTTGCCTCGTCATACGAATGAAGAATCGGTAAATGTCTTCATTGAAAACTGTCAGATTCACCTATATACATGATTAAAAATGTCTGGGTTTACCGGTTAAGCGGGTTGTTTCAGACTGAGGTTGTCCCCTCGTGACAAACGTAAACGTGATGATTCTATGAATGTAAAATTTGTTGTTGTTTTTTTTCGTCTACCTATTCCTTTCAAACATTTTATCCGTGACTAAATACAATATGACACAATGAACACACAGGATATCAGAAACCGTATCAGTGTCAAACTTGTTTATTCAAGTTGTCACAGAATAAAACCTATTTTTTCATATTTTTCCCAAATTTCAATCAAAGCCAAAATTGTCAAAATCATATAAAATACGTACAGAAAAATTTTGGAGCAACATTTTGTCGGTAAACAATATGGCGCTAAAAAAAGGTTAACAGGCTATTAGCCAGGAATTCAACTGAGTCTAAAAGAATTCAACTTCATGAAAAAATGTAGATGGTTTTGGATATATTTTAGTAAAATTATCAAAGAACAATAGGAAAAAAACAGAAAAATGGGAAAAGTTGCCAGTCCAAAATCAAAGTTGCCAGTCTGTTTGGCTGTTTTGACTGGTGGCTGGCTAAAAGCCTGAGGGTTGACGACGAATGCTTGAAAGAACATTCTCTCTAAAGTCAATTTTTATTGCCTATCACAAAATGAAACTACACAATTGTTTTTTAAATGCTGATGAAGACCCGTAACTAATGGTGAAACGTAGTGCCACATTCATCAAATTGTGTCAAAGGGCAGAAGCACTGCACTGTCACGTGACAAGACAACTATTACGTGTAGTTAGTGAATCGGACCATTTAAAAACGCAACACCGGACCCGGGCAACAAAATACTACTTCAGTTTTAACTTTGTTCACACATTTTCTATTTTAGGTATCACGTTTGCCGCCGTTTGGACTGCGCTGACGTCGTTTCTGGCGTTCACCGTTCCCAGTGAGTCGTTTGCGACGATGCAGGGTATTCTACACGGTATTTACTGGGGACTTGGCAGCGGAGTTGGTAATATGCTAGGGGGTGTCTTGGTAGATTCCTTTGGTGCTGTTACCACGTTCCTTGCATTTTCAATGGCTAACATAGTCGTATTGGGATTATTCTTCTGTATACAAAGGGTAAGGCACCACATATAATACTGTAAAAAGGTTAATTATTCACTGGGTTTTAATTTTGCTTATTATGCGCTAAACTAAAACCCAGTGAATATGTAAAATTTAGCATAGAAAACATTATCTAAATGATAAAACTGTGAATTTAAAACCCACTGAATATGCCTGAAATGGTAAATCAGCGAAATTCAAACCCGGTGAAAATTAGTCATTTTACAGTAATGTACGAGGAAAAATGTCGGGGTTTCACAGACCAACTATTTCTTGACTACAGTGTAGATTGTGTCGTGCAGGAACTAAATCACCCCAAACATGGATATGCCAGTTCGATATCGTAACTTGTTCAGCTAACGATGTACAGAATACAAAATGTCAGGTTGTTAAGGCTTGGAAACGTTTTCAAAATTGTTTCTTTCGGCTAGATATCAGACTTGTTCATGCTCCACCACTTGTTATTCAATATTTCATTCAATGGCGACTTTTTCAATTATCTTTTTCACCGGTTGACAAGACAGCGGGACAATAGTTTATCATTGTTGTGCCAGTTAAAAAAAGAAAGCTTTCTCAGTTACATCCTTATCAGTTTTCATTTGATATCACGTGTGACGTATATGGAAATTAGCGTATGGACATCAATCATGTGATAGCCACAATCCAATCAGCAAATTAGCTGAATTCCTCCATTCTTACGAGGTAACAGTTTTGTTAACAAATCTTTCCTCCAGTGCTGCCCGACGCCGGAAGTGAAACTGAATGGTTATGACGAACTGGAAGGTGACATGAAAGAAAAGGCGGAAGTGAAGTCGAAAAAGTCCGAGGGCGCTGCTGAGAAACATCAAGTGACTCTCCCATCATATCCGATAGAGGCCGCTGCAGCACAAGCTCTTCCCGGATCTGACTATGAATAAAAAGAATGTTTGCCACATTTTTTTAAACCGAGCTCGATTTTGCTCAGATAGACTGAGTTTGATAGCAAACTGTCGACGATTACAAGTTTTCGACTTGTAAATATTTACATTGCACAGGGTAGTACTTATTATTTGTATGGAATTTTAGCAAATACTCGTAATTTCTCAAATGGCCCAAATTATGTATACACTTATTTTCTTTGTCAAC